CATTGTTTGCGACACTCACCCATATCACTCAGTGTGTCTAACCTCCGGTTACCATGATCCCGCGGTCACCAACCGGGGTGCTTAACGGGACCTATGTAACCGAGTCTCCTGGTTAGAGTTAGTGCCGGGTCTTTATCCCACCCACTATCTGCCTCGGTCAACATCACGTGCCGTGGCAACCTATTTGGTGGAATGCGTAAAACATGCCCCAACCAGCTTGATCTATGAAGGTCGACTACTTGCTCCAATGAGCAATCGCGATTATCTAAGACTCTACGCCTAATCTCAGTATTGCTCGTCCGGTTACCCCACCAGACTCGTGCAATGCGACGTAGACAGCGGTGTTCGCATACCGACAATCCTGTTTTTTGAATGGCCAATTTTCTGCGCTTTAAGCAGCACTAGTCAAACTGCTGCGGCATATACTCGACCCGAATGTCGGGTCTTAAGTTGGCCGATGCCAACCGAGCCTTCTGTATGCGAGCCTTCTGTATGCGCGCTGAAACTTCATCCGTGATTCGTCCACCGGGTGAGACGTAGCTGCCCAAATAACAAAACTTGTCCACTTGCTCTATTACTTTCGCAGTCAGTGTGGGGTTGGGACAAGGCCAACCGAATCTTGTAGCGATATTTTACACTTTGATGGTGCAAAACGCATACTGAGCATTGTCGGATCTTACCCAATACTACTGAAGCCGACCAACCTCTAGTAGTGTCACGCAGTTATCCATCGAGCCGGTATTAGAGTGTATCCAAGACTGTCACATCGTGTAGACTCCAAGTGCCGTTTAGTGTAAGGAACTGACAATACGGACGTAAACTATGCATCTGTCAGAAACGGTACTACTATACGTCACCGAAGAACCGCCAAAACTGTTCTGTCCTATGTAACGATACTATGTGGGTTGGAATACGTGTATATCTTTTGCACTTGGACGTCCGAATGCTAAGGGAGATCGACTAAACAATCAAAAAGTCGCCCTTTTTTAACAGACGTAGTTTAACCATCACGTTGTCTTCGGCCTACGATTAGGGAATCATGTCACAACAAACGTGATCTGCTCAGACCGATTCAATGTCCCAATATTGTCTACTCGCTATCCTGTGACCAGTCTGTTTTACTGCTCGAGTTATTTCACCTCCTCTGCGAAACGCTGTGAACGTTTTATTCCTCGAAAATCAACAGTTTTGAGTATCATTCACATACAGCCACTGGAAGCATTCAAGTTTCCAAACTGTCGCCTATTTTGTAAATCCAAACCCGCCAGGACTGCTTCTTTCTAGAGAAGAACCTCATATTGTGTTACATTCTATGATAAAATGATGAGAATCGATCTGGAGATAGTTTCAAAGCAGAGTTTTAGGGCTAACTGGAAAAGTAAGTATCTCTAGAAAACAACCACTTCCCACTTCGATAGAAGTAACATTTGATCCGCTTAAGGAATGTGTTATACAGTACTTATTCATTGGCGCCGGTGATTAAGCGGTAATGGTTATCAACTTATCGCCTGCAATGACGTGTGTTCGAATCCGACCACTATGTCCGACTTTCTTTGTGTGTTGTATGGTAGCCTTTTTATTGGCCGCTTTCTCCTTTAAAATCGTATCATTCTAGTAGCAAAACGAAACGACCAAAGTCCGTTATGTATCTTGCCAGGTGATTTGAAAATCACATCGGAATGAAATAGCCGTATGTGAGTAACGGACGATATGGTTTAATTTCAAAGGGAAAAATCGTCGTGTGTATGTCAAATGAAGCGTGAACTGAGAAGATAAGAAGCATTGAACAACTGTTTCGACCTGGTTGGGCCTCATCAGCAGTGCGAATCCATCAGCTCTAAATCAAACCCGGGACCTCATAGGCAGAACACAAGCATGCTACCCACTAGACAGCTGATCAGACCGTTTTTCATTTTCCATTTACACGACATATCACAGTCCATCTTTGCGTGCTTGTCGCAGGCTTTTCAGTTTACGCTTCATTTGACATGTACACGACGAATTTACCATTTGAAATAGGCGTATCTAAAACATGTCCGCATATCCCAATATCTATCTATTCAAACCGAGGTTTTGCATCCGGAAAGCTCTCATTCGTAAGCCTAATCTGCACCTATTCAGTTCGTCACCTGTCAGCAATACAACATCGGTATGGTAGAGAGTACGCGTCTCGGACATCAAACTAGCCAATCGTCCAAAAGAAGTATTGATGCTTACTTGTCATATCGCTGTATGCACCGACCGATTGCAGTACACCTGAAATAACGGATAAATTTTACAAGGACCTTTCTCAATTACTCTAAAGTGATCGATCAACGGACATCTTTATGGTCGCCGGAGACTTCACTGCTCAAGTGAGACACCTTGACGAATCGGAAAC